TAGAGACCCTTCACCATTTTAGTTGCTACTTCCGGACATGGTTTTATATGCAAATGTGCTCACTGTGCCTTTTAAAGTGGGGCTCCAGAACTGGACAGGTGTAGGTTGTCTGACCATTACAGAGGCTAGTACAACTATTATCTCCCTTGTTCTGGGTATTGTATTTCTAAAAGCATAATCCAACATCCCCATATCATTCTGTAGACACATAGTGAGCTAAGAGTACAACCCTTTCCGTCTTTGTTATGTTCAGCCAATTCTCTCCCTCCTCTATTTTGTACTTGTGCACTGGTTGTGGGGAATCTCAAATCAGGACTTTATCAGCTGCCCATTAGATGTTACGGTATGTTCAGGCGAGGGCTGTAGACAACATCAGGAACGAGCACCCTCTATCACTAAGTAGCTCTGTTTCCCATCCCCCAGCCTCCACTACTTATGAACACATTTGGGGAGAAAGGGAACTCCATTCCTGGAAAGTTACTCAAATACGTTCACTGCCTCTGCAGAACTGTTGAATAGAGCCATCAACTTGGAAAATCTCTTGTCTTCGAGTCTCTGACTCCTTGAAACATTCTTCCTGGTTGACCGAGTGTCATTTATCTCTGGAACACCCCTCCCTTCACTACTGAGAAGTCAAAACCTATATTCAACTTACTGCACAAGCCTGATTATGTTTTCAACAAAATAATCATGCTTCTTTCTCTCTTAGCACAAAATGCTCCACCCCTCTGAAGATGTTAGAGTGCTAATGATAAATCCTTACAGAAGGACTGCCGCAGGTCTTGTCAGTTTTCTCGGGGCACCCAGCACTCCAGCTGATAACAGTGAAAGAGAACACGGTCAGGTCAGATGGCAAGAATACTAATAAGAGCATCGCCCATCTTTGACAGTGACACTCACCGGAACAACCTACATTCTCAACAATAAAAGTAATAGCCCTTCCCTGCTGCCTTCAACAAAATCCTAAATTCAAATTTGGAGAGTATTATTATGTTCTCCTAAGGTTTAGCCAGGAGGAGAAAAGAGTAACATGATCTTAAGATGTAGAATATAAGGGGCACCTGGGTGGCTCAGACGGTTAAGCATTTGTCTTTGATTCAGGTCATGATTCCAAGGTCCTGGGATTGAGAGCCCTTCCCTGCTGCTCCTTCCTCTCCCTCTGTCATTCTCTCTGCTTGTGCTCTCTGGCTCTCTGTCAAATAAATAAAATCTTAAAAAAAAAAAAAAGAATATAAGAACATCTCCCAAGGAAAAGGCAGAGCAGTGTGTCCCAGAAGAATATTTCCCTGTTCAGATTTTCAAAACGTCGCTGCAAATTTAAACTTTGTCTTTTAATGCATAAAATTTTTGAAAGATCGCATTCAAGTTGGGTACTCAAAGACAAAATGAAATAATTATCTGATTAATTCAATTAGCTATTCTACATAATTAAGACTCCTGTACCTTTTCAGGTCACTGTTGTTGTTTTTTTAAGGTCATTCTCCTCATAATCTCCACGACTTTCCATTTCATCTTAGCTGAGTAATGTGATTTTGAAAAGAACCTTATGGATGTAATATCAAAGATTTTCCTTCCACTACTTTGGGGGAGAGGAGAACTTTTACCACTGCCTTTTAATTTTTCCCCACTGTCAGGGTTGTGCTTAAAGAGCCTATTAAACCTTTTATTATATGTGAGAAGGGCACTGGAGGAATGATTGTTTCCACACTGCAACAAGGTAATCATAAATCTAAAAGGTTAACAAGAAAAATGAAATCAATTTTATACAAGTGAATCATGTTAAAAGAGTCAAAATGATATTTTACTTGCTAGTTATGAACCTGTTGATCTGATCCTATGCTTTGGAAAGCGTGAACTCAATATTGTGAAACAATGATGAGGACCACAGATTTCATTGCTTATTAAAACGTTTAGTATAAACCTTGATTTTGACTGTCCACACATGTCAGCATATTTTGGCTGAAATTTAATATGAGATTACTTGAACAGTTCATTTTCCTTCTTCTGTGTGATGGAAAAAAAATTTAATGCTTGGGCATAAAAATTGTTCTTATTATTAAAGAAAGAAGAAAAAAAGAAAATCTAGTAAATGCCTTAAATAATAAAGAGTACTGTGCAGATATAAGCCTTATTAGCGTTCCTTAGTATCATGGTTATTTATGCAAAATTCTTTAATGACAGCATAAATCCACCATTTCATTATTATTTGCTGCTAATATGATGAACATTATAAACAAAAAAATAAAAAATTCATTTCAGATTTATAACTAATGAGACACCAAAGTTTATTAAAAACACTTGTGGCATCTCTCAAGCGTTTTAAAATGCCAACTTCAGAAATGGAAACAAACCAAGTACAGTGTTCTCTATGCTTGATCTGAGCTGTGCTGATTTACCCCATGTTTTGTTAAATAAAAAAAAAGATAAACATAGGACTTTATAAGCCTCCAGGGAGAGACACCACAATTCACCAATGTTATGCCAAAGGCATGAAGTGCGAAGAGCCGAGAGGCGGATGGAGGAAAATGAGTCTTGCTTGAAGTAATTTTTTCAAGCAACTGAAAAGATGAAGTTCTCTAGGAAATGTCTTTAGAATTACTTATGTGCTGGGCGCCTGGGTGGCTCAGTGGGTTAAGCAACTGCCTTCGGCTCAGGTCATGATCCTGGAGTCCCTGGATCGAGTCCCGCATCGGGCTCCCTGCTCGGCAGGGAGTCTGCTTCTCCCTCTGACTCTCCCCCTCTCACGCTCTCTCATTCTCTCTCTTTCAAATAAATAAAATAAAATAAAATAAAAAAAGCGGGGGGGGGCGCCTGAGTGGCTCAGTCGGTTAAGCGACTGCCTTCGGCTCAGGTCATGATCCTGGAGTCCCGGGATCGAGTCCCGCATCGGGCTCCCTGCTCGGCGGGGAGTCTGCTTCTCCCTCTGACCCTCCCCCCTCTCATGTGCTTGCTCTCTCTCATTCGCTCTCTCTCAAATAAATAAAAAATCTTTAAAAATTAAAAAAAAAAAAAAAGAATTACTTATGTGCTCTATTGATCAAACTGGCCCAGGCATTAGTGCACTTTTTGGGTTTAGAGACTCTTACAAAAACACTGCTAAAAATGAATAAACATATACATGCATACCTACATGAGTGTCCACCTGTTACACAGGACTTTTTATCCATTTCCACTTACCTGACCTACACCGCCAGAGGTTCTCTAAATGGAAGTCTAGTATTCTATCAAGGTGGAGTAACTGAAACTAGGTGTGGGATCTCTTTCAATCTCTACCCTGGAGATGCAACACCTAACATTTAATTCCAGAGATGCCACTATGCCATGATATCAGCTAATCTGGGACTGACGCTCCACTCTAGCAGCCTTTTCCTGATACTCTAATCCATGGTGACAAATGTATCCTTAATTTGCACAACACTTTTCACTTGCCCGCACAGGAGACCACCTTGAAGGAGCGAGTAAAAGGTTTAGTCATGGTTTTCTATTTTTCTATTTGAATCAATACATTCTAGTTAAATGGACAATTAATAGGTCACTTCCAAAATAGTGGTGTATCAGTCCTGGTTAATAAACAATCCCCAGAGTTGATAATGGGCTCTATGTATTCAGCAAGTCCTGTATACACTCAGCTCATCCACTAAATCCCTTTTCAGGTGGACAGAGTTATATGGGAAGATGAGCTAGAATGAGTCTATAAAAGTCAGTTTCATTCACTGCTTTATTTTTCAGTCAAGTGCTTTAAATGGTGTCCAGAAATTCACTCGGAATGTGAGACAGGAGAAAAGATGGACACACAGAGCCTTGCTTTATGACCATACAAAAGGGCAACTGACCCTTGCCTGAGGCTTTTCCATGTGAAATGGCTCCTAAAGTTCATCTGCACAGTGAAAAATCGTGGTGAGGTCGCGTGTGGATGAGTCAAGTGAAAGTGACGATTGGTCACGGGTCTGTCACCCATTGTGGCTGGGCCCCTGCCATGTAAAGTGCTCTGTGGGAAAGTATCGGCCCCCTAAAGAGATGCTCAGAAGCCTGCAGCTCATTAAACGGCCAGCATTTGCTGCCTCACTTGTCAGGAATCATTCTGTTGAGCAACTGCTCTCCTGAAACATTCATAAAACACATGAACAGAGAGGCAGCAGGGACCTGAATTCAACTGTGATAGAGCTCTGTACTTCAGCCTAACTCAACTCGGATTTCACTTTTCGCCTGACAGAGGGGTTAACCTGAATAAATGTTTTCTCTTGGGCAGCTGAAATAAATGTGCCCCTTTACTGGACTTCTTTTTCATAAACTCAGATTCTCTGCCTACAGATTCTTATTTGACCTAGAAATCTCAAGATCAAGGTGAACTTAATTTCTTTTTAGTTTGACATTGTTTTCTTTGGGTATGTGAGTGTGTGTGTGTGCGTGCACCCTCTGAAAGTTTTTCCAAGTTGTCGTTCTCACTTCAGCCCTGGACACTTTAAATTTTGTAATGTTCAAGAAGTTCTCTTGAAAATATTTCCTACAACTCCGGTTGGTTTTCTTCAAGATCATAAGGAAGAGGTATTTATCTCCTTTTACAACTGGACAATTTCAATTATTTTCTATGGACACCCAGTGACTTTCTGTGTCACATTTTAAGCTGAATGGAAATTTTACACAGCACTATTTCTTAGCCTTCCTTCCTTTCTTTTTTTCTTCTCTAAGTGAGTATTGCTACACATTTCAGAAAGAGCCAAACTGGTCCCTCTGAGATCTTTTATATCAAATGGAAAACAAGTTGCTTTCCTTGGTGTGTCAGCCCTGGGTTTCAATGCCATTAGAAACTGCTCACAATTGCTCAGTGTGCTGAGGTCTGATAAATCTCTGGAAACCTCCTGAATAGGATCGCTGTGATTTTTAGTGAGGATTTAGCTCCTTGCCATTGCATTACCAATTAGTTTTCCAGAGCACATTAAATCCTGCTGCTTTGGTTTACAGAATAACTGAGGCATTGCTGATGAAGCATAAAAACTTACTTGCAAAAGCAGTGGGGGATGCAGGGCGCCGACAGGACCCACCACAGCATGCCGAGTAGAATGGAGGGGCAGTCAGGAAAAAAGGTTTGGAAGATGCTGTGGAGAAAGCATTGATCTCATTGATGAGTCATTTCTTTCAGACAATATTCAAAATTCCATTTTCCCGAAAGTCACTGAGTAAAACACTTCATTTTCTGAGACTTTACTTAACTAGTTATAACTTTTACTGAAATTAAAGTCATTCTAAAGTAGCCTTTATCTGCCAAAGAGATCGCCAAATAGTTTAATCAAGATTTGGAAGATATGTTGGAAAGACTCAATGGATCAAAACCAAACTTAATTTTCTGTGTGGTCATAATTATATGTAGCAAGTATTCCTTTATTTAAAATATCCCAGAGCAACACTGTCCAAGAGAATGATCTGTGGTGATGGAATATCCTTTATCTCCACTGTCCACTTGAAAATAAATATTTTTATTACTCTCCCTACATATTCAATGGCAACTTTTTCTTACCTTAATCATTATTTAGTGAATATTATTTTGATATGAAAATATACATTTTTCAAGAACACAATAATTTCAGACTTGTATTTTAACCAATTGATAAGCATGTGTTTATTTTCGCCAATATTTTTGCAGGCTATATAAAAATAAGTGCATTGCCCAATAAGAATTTCGGTTCTTAATGCCTTCAAATTGCAAATTAATCATAAATCATAACATAATGGAAAGTTGCCAATATTCATGTTCTCAGCTTTTCAATATCCAATTTTTCAAATAATAAAATATTTGTCTTAATGATATCTTGAGGCATACACAGCTGGCTCAGTCAGTGGAGTGTGTGGCTCCTAATCTCGGGGCTATAAGTTTGAGCCCCACACTGGGTATAGAGATTACTTAAAAATAAAATCTTTTAAAAAATGGTATTTTGAAAATATAGCAACTAAGCAAAGTATGAAAAGGAAATCCATTTTGGTGTTCAAAAGTACTATAAAACTTGAAAAAAAAATTTTTTTTAAGTAGGCTCCACGCCCAACGTGGGGTTTGAACTCATGACCTGACATAGACAGTTGCACGCTCCACCAAATGAGACACCCAGGCAGCCTATAAAACTTGTTTTTAATTTCACTGTTATCATAAGTTATTCTAATATTAACTATAAAACCATCAAAGAAATGATAAATCATTCATTTTAATTTAACATCTTATGTTACAATAAAATGGCATTATTTAGGCAGTTACATTTTCCATTATTCTCGGACTATATGAAGTACTTTGAAAAATGAAAATCTATTTTTATGTATAAAAGCTGTCATATTATGTTTATTCTCAAGCATTTCTGTTAACTCATTTCAGCTCCAAAATAAACACTCCATAAATAATTAAGTTACGGCTATTGTGCTATTTAGCACAAAATGCAATGCTGCATTTACATACATACAATGAAACATTTATCATGATAGCTGGAAAAACACACATAAAAGAAATATTTTTACTTAATATAAAGTGTAGAAAATAAGTACACTAGTGATACTGTTACCATAACCATGCAAAATACGTGCAAATTACAAATTTTACTATTCTAGCCAAGATGTTTCTCAGTCTAACCCTATGGCCCTAAAAATAGAAAGATAAAAGATCTAAAAAAATGAATGGTTCATTTGAGACTAGTGATCAATTAAATTCATTTGTGATAAATGAAGTTTTGAGATATATGATCTTAGTGTTGTTTAACCATAAAAAGTTTTTACTGAATACTTTGTTATATTACTATATATTATCTTATCTTAATAAAGTAAAACTGCAATCAAAATAACATGTTATCTACAGTAATAAACTCATGTGGCTAAGGAACTACATGTTACATGACCAGGCTTCAGGTTCTATTGCATAGAATTTCTTCACCATTTTAAAAATCATCTCTTTGACATACATATATTTACACAGATTAGTTGATTCCTGATTTCCATGCATAAATACACCTTGTTTAAGCTGGCTTATGTGAAAATTGCTGTGAAATTCCAATTAAGTGCTCCATTTCTTTTTCTTAACATGTGCCTACTTTGACATAAGTCAAATGCTAATCCAGCTGAGCATGTGATTGCAGGGGTGTCAAATGGTATGTGGAAATAACCTTTTAAAACAATGAAATGCAAAAAAATGAATAAAATAAAATAAACAATGAAATGCATTTAAAAATATATCTTACACTTCTAAATTTTTGTAAATGACATGCTCTTTAAAGTAATGAGCAAAAAAGGAAACTCAATTGTGATAAAAACAAAGTAACAAGTTGACAGACCTGTTAAAACTTTAGCCTGGTGATGGGTATTAAAGAGGGCACGTTCTGCATGGAGCACTGGGTGTTATACGCAAACAACGAATCATGGAACACTACATCAAAAACTAACGATGTAATAAGGTATGGTGATTAACATAATAAAAAAAAACAAAAATAAATAAAACTTTTGTAAGCCATTAAGAACTACTCAGAAGATGCTCTGAAAAAGGCGGAAAACAAGGCAATTTCACCCTGGATGATATGCATTTCAAAGCCCATCAATGCAATCTAAATGCAGTCACTTTATCACTGATCCTACTGGGAACAATCTGTCATGGGCTTACTGAACGATATTTATGACAATAGTATTTAAGGAGTGTCTGCTATACACCGGGCACTGGACTAGCTATGAATTTAGCACATGCTTTCTCATTCATTCATTAGCATTCAGCCTCAAATGGGTATGCAACTGTTATGTGATGAGTACTCTTCTCAGCAAATTTTTTTAAAAAATACAAGAGAAACATAAATATGTTAGCATAATAGTTATTAGCCAGGAAAGGTAAGGATTTCATGCAGAGACTGCCAGAGCTGGAACCCAGAAAAGGGACTGTCTGCCAAGTTTTCCATAAGAGAAAAACAAATGGCCTTTCCTATGGTGGGGGGGGGGCGGGGAGGCATGCTGTCAGGTGCTACAGCATGATGTCAGGTTCTGTTAGCGCACGTTTCAGGATACTCCGAATTTTGTATCCCACTGACAAATCTAGTTTCCAGTTTCTGTGAGAATCTGCTACAAGTCACAAACAAATCACTTAAAATTCTTGGAACTGAACTGTCTGAATCCAAATGACTAAAATCACTTATTCACAGAAAACCTCATGAACTTTTCACTTCTTAATCAGATGTTCTGACTTAACTGAAGCCACAGAATCAAAATATCTATTAACTATTTTGAATATTTAATTAAGGTGGGAACTTCAAGCCAACTTAATGGTGAACTGACCTGATTTCTTTTTAAACTTAACTAGATGGTTCTGTGATACCAGCATCTCATAGCCAAGGATGGTTACAAGCCTACCTACAGATAAATCATTTTCAAAATTCTGTTGTTTAGAAAGCAAGCAATAATTTTTAAATTGCTTTTCTGTTGTTATTTTCACTCTTTCACTGATGGAGCAGAACAATAGGTATTTAAAAGGGGTGAAACCACATTCTTTTTATTGTCAGTGCAAAACTGTGGTACTAACTGACTTGAGTTGACATTTCAAAGAAAGAATACCAAAGACCACTAATAAAACCTTCAAATAAATTTCAGGAGTCCACCGCAATGTTATGCCAATTGGCAGCATCTTTCAAGGATGAGGAGAATTGAGAAAAAGTTCCAAGATGTCTTACTAAGGCAATCAAAGGGTCAAAACATACCTCCAGGAAATAACAGGGAATTAAATAATTTTTAAAAAATGGTTTTAAATGACCTTCTACAAGTGCCTGGTACATGGGCACCGGGAATAAAGAAATCTAAACTTCTAAATCTAAAATAATACACAATTGGAATAGAGTGGACCCAAAAACGAGACTCCAAAAGAATGGCAACCAGATGCCCTGCCTACTAAGACCTAAGAAATATCACTTACCTAATGAGGTGTGATTTATTTTATCACACAACCTGGAAGGAATTCATTTATGTGATCCACATGCAAATTTGCCTTCAGTCACAAGGGAATGCAAGTAAACTAAATTCATCCTTTATCTTCCTGCTCATCAGAAAACAACAGAAGTCCACATTTTTTTTCCTCAATGAGTATTTCAGACACAGAAAAACAAAGGTCTTAATGTTCTGGTACAGCTCACGAGAAGATAAATCAAGTGTAGTGTCTACTTGTTTGATTCTATCCTTTTAATTCTGTGCAAATAATATTTACTGCATCTCTATCAAGTGCCACACAGTGTACTGTGTATTGGGATTACAAAGATGAAAAAGGACCGTTTCCTTCCCTAGAAGAATTTCTACTTAGTGCTTCTTAACTTACAGATTTACATCTGCTGGTCAAAGAAATGAAATGCGAATTTTTCTGTTCTCCAAAGTTAGTTTTGTTCTGTAAAATCTGAGGCATTCCCCAAGAAAGAGATGAGATTTGAAAAAATTCATACGGTGCATTTTCCTATCCATTGGTTCTCAACCCTGAATACACACTAGAATTACCTGGAGTGCTTTTCAAAGATACGGATGCCCAGGCCACACACCAATGGGGCTAAATCACACTGGCTAAGGGTGGGCTCCTTAGCACGGCATTGTTTCAAAAGCTGCACAGGTCATTACAATGCATCGCCAGGAGGGAAACACTGAAAAGAGCACAAAACAATGTCTGACACAGCAGGCACTCAATAAATGTTAGCCTTTACTCCTGCCATTATTATGTAATTTGAGATCAGCTGCGAGACAACGCATAAAAAGAAGCAGCATGGTCAAGACTTCCACTGAAATAGAGAAGTAAAAAGAAAAGATTATTGTTAAGAAGGCTTTGTCAAAGAAGGCTTTAATCAGGAACAACATCTTAATCCACACCTTAATTTGGAAGGTATTTAGAACGGCAAAGGATGAGAAAGAAGGCATTCCAACAAGGAAAGGCGGCATGAACGAAAGGAAGGGGGGCGAGGAGAGACACGTAGGGCAGGTTAAGAAAACCAGCCCGACTGCTGGCACAAGGCCCAAAGACTGAACGTTAAGGAATGTAGTTGGAAGAGCTAAATGCTGCTGATGGAATGAAGGTGTTGAAGAACAGAGTGTTTGTATTTGATTTGATCGTCAAGTG